CAGAGAAAGGATTTGTACTTTTAAACTGGCACTTCGGATGCAGTCAAAGTGCTGAAGTCGTCGAAGTGGCGGTCAGCAGTGTGTGCAGCCAAATCTATGGAACTGTTTTCGGCTACCCAATTGCACGAACACCGCTGACCCATACCCTATACTCTACTTCGACACTGCGGCTCTAGACTAAGTCCCGTTCGAAGATTCGAACGCTCGTTCGAATGGGACTTAGTCATTTTCTCAGTGTAAAATAGACCGACCGCACAGCCCAAATCCATGGAACTGTTTTGGGCATGAAAATGTGCTTGCGGTCGGTCAAAAGTGACTTATATCTATCTACCGAACGGCTGAACGGATTCAAATGATTTTTGGGTATGTTTGTATTTGAAATGTGCTGATTAATAATATGTGACTTTTATTAATATTGGATGTATAGTTTTAGAGTTATGAAAGTTGGGTAAAAAGTATGTTTTAAACTGTACGGTTAATTGTTACCTCTCAGGCTGAGGGGAGGGAATCTGTGGGTTGTAACCATTGTTTGATTGGCTACTGTATAATTGTCTGTGGGCGTCTCCCTTGCATGGGAGAATTGCATAAAAGCAGAGTGTGTGAACCAGAGTTCTTCTTCACCCTCAATCTAGAGTCCTGTCTCTTATTGGGGGAATTGTTATATCACTACAAGGGATTGCTATGCTCTGCATACTCCCTTAGCTAATCACTACTAAGCTCTTTTAAGGGCTTGTTCCGGCTTCACCCTCTTGGAGGAGAGGTTCACCCACTGGAACCTGGAGCCTTGTCGTAGGTCCAGGGTGGGTAGGAGATGGCGAGACCCCAACCAAGCTGCGTCGGTTAGTACGGTCTCCGGTGGTTGTGGTTTTTGCGGAGCGCTTGGAGCCCTCTTTAAGCGCTAGGAGCATCCTTCAACGGAGGTTCCAAGTCGAGGGGTGCCAGGTGATCCATAACACGGGCTATTTGTGGATATAAGCGGGCAGCTCCCTTCCTATGGAATAGCCTGGCTACCCCCATCAGACTCTCCCCGAGTCTACAATCCTTTAAGAAGTGCCTTAAAACCCATCTCTTTAGGAAAGCTTATGGCCTCCTAGAATAACCCCTATCTTACACATCTGTCTCTTGCTCTGTACTTTAGAGCAGCACTTTACTCGCTCCTGTAAGAAGTATATCCTTACCGTAGTAGACTACGCTGCTCGATACCTGAAGCGGTGGCTCTAACATCCAGGCAGAGACAGTGGCTGATACTCTGGAACAAATATTATTCCAAGTGGGTTTTTTTCCTTGAGAGATCCTTTCGGACCGGGGTACCCAGATTACCCCCGACATTACCCATCAGCTTTGGAAGTTCTGCGGTATAAAACCCATAACAATGTCCCTGTATCACCCCCAGATAAAAGGTCTGAGTGGTTCAATGTGACACTGAAACAGATGCTTAGAACCTTTACAACTACTTGGAGAGACTGGGAACGATTCCTGCCTCATCTCCTGTTTGCTTATCGGGAGGTACCGCAGGAATCTACTGGGTTCTCCCCATTTGTGCTATTACACGAGAGGCGGATGAGGGGACCCTTAGACCTCATCCGAGAACACTGGGAGGGAGAAACTGAGATAGTATGGACACCGATTGTACCCTATGTTCTGGAGATTAGGGCCTGCATGGAGTTACTTGCTCAGACGGTGTGTGAAAACCTCCAGGTGGCCCAGAAGTGCCAGCAGGTATGTTACGATTAGGGAGCCAGGCAAAGGCCTTGTTGTGGGCCGAAACGTTGTTTTGATTCTGCTTCAATAAATCTGCCCACTTGATTGAAATTGAGTGCCTGGACCATCATTACTTGTTTGCAAATCACATTGTGAGCATTGGCCATCTTTAGTTTCGGTTGCACCCTGGGATCCAGCAGAGTGCGGTATCTATATTAGTAATTATATGGTTTGGAAACCGGTCAGGAAGGGACCCTATAAGGTGGTGGAGCAAGTCTGTGATACCAGGTAAGTGGTAGTTAGCTGTGAGAATGAGCAGGTGAAAAGTACATTCCACATTAACATGCTCAAAAAGTATAATGGCAGAGAGGAAGAGGCCACCTTATGCCCCCCTGCTTCCGATGAGACCGATAATTTGCCCCCAGGGCTGGATAAATAGGACTGTTGGGAGACAAACTAGGGAAAGGATGCAAGCTTTCAGCTCCTATCTCCCAAGAACCTAGGTACACTACGTTAGCACTCCGCAGAGTGGATACCCCTGGACAAGTACCCATACATCAACCCCTATAACGCATTCCCTAGGCAGTCAGGGAAGGAATGCGGGAAAAAAAGATTAATCAAATGCTGTGTCTGGAAGTCATTGAATCCTCCAAAAGCACATGGGCCTCACCGGCAGCAAGGGGATGCTACCTGACCACCTTTAAACTCTGTATGGGCTAATTCCCCTAGCCAAGGAGGCTATTCCCAAATCGGCCTTTATCACCCTGTTCGTCCTCTACCAGTTATGGGTTATGCCGTTCAGGAAGAAAAATGCCCCAGCTACCTAGATAGACTCCTCGATGGCCTCCAGTATTATGCATGGGCATACGTGGATGACATAGCGGTCTACAGTGATACCTGGGAGGCTCATATAGAACACGTAGGGATGGTTCTTTACAGAATTAGGAACACCGGCTTGACTTTGAAACCAGACAAGTGTCACATTGGTTTGGCAGAGGTACAGTACCTGTGCCACCGGGTAGGATGTGGGAAGCATGGCTAGAGCCAGCCAAGATTCAGGCTATGGCTAACTGGCCCACACCCCATATCCAGACACAAGTCATGGCTTTCCTGGGCACAGCCGGCTACTACCGACTTTGGGCTTTTGCCCCGGACTATGGTGCCATAGCGAAGCCCCTGACCTACCTGCCCAAAAATAATTTGCATAGACAGGTCCTGTAATCCACCAGATTGTGAGACAGCGTTCCAGTCCTTGAAACAAGCTCTAATCAATGCTCCTGTCCCGGCTGCCCCAGATCCTAAGAAACGTTTTATCGTCCATACAGACGCTTCCATGTTTGGACAAGGGGCAATTTTAAGTCACGTCGGCGAAGATGGCGGGGAGCATCCGGTTGACTATCTAAGCTGAAAGCTATTACCACGAGAACTAGGTTTGAAAAATAATGTTTGGCTCCAGTATGGCCTATGAAAAAACGTACTCCATACTTATACGGATAAGCCTTCACCCTGATTACCGACCACAACCGTTGGCGTGGCTTAACCGGGTCGCAGGAGACAACGCACGATTACTGAGGTGGAGTCTGGCCCTACAGGCCTATGTCTTTACTATTTATTATCGACCTGGTAAGCAGAATGGGAACACCGACCGGTTGTCTAGGCAGACCGAGCTCTTAAACTAAAGGACTTTCCCTGGACATCCCCAAGTTGACCCAAAAGGGTCAAGACGTGACTACTGGAGTACGGAAAAGGGGGGAGCATGTGACAAAGCTTCCTCATGTATAAGACTGGTTTACATTCTCACACACAATGATTATGAACTGTGTCCGGAGAAATCGTTCAGGAGTTATCCTGTCCGGCATCCTCAAGAGCCCCAATCACAATTACCCAGGTTCAGTGCCTTCCCTCTCCCAAATTCATCCAAACGCTCGTTCCCTGGCTGCGGTTCATGCGTATGAACATGCGATCAGGCTTCAGCGGGACTTAGCCGCAACCCTATGGAAATCAATTTGGAAATTAGATGTTGCGACTCTCCTTCCCAACATGTCAGGAGAGCGCTTTGTAGAGGGAAGGTACCTGAAGATGTGGGGAACAATCGCTCCCTGAGAGCCAGGAAGTATAGTATTTGCTTTGTGCACAGGAGCCCCCAACAGTTGACAGGCCAAAGCACCAATCGTTCTGGAACTCTTTTGGGCATGGACCACGTGTGCGGCCGGTCAAACCGGTTAGCGGTTGGCGTGGGTGCTTTAACTGACCAAGCAGTCTGGAGGGTCACACTTCGATGCGGCGTCCTCGTGAAGTGAGAGGGAGACGCGGTGTGGGAGCGCGAGGTAAGTGAGTGTGGGAGCGAGGTCCTGACATGGAGATGCTGATCATGACAGAAGTGTGGTTGGGTGAATCATTCCGGGCCTTGCAGTGGCATGTGGCATACATCTACCTGTGGATGGTTGGGCACAAATGCTTAGAGGGGGAGAAGTAAGATGGCCCTGATCTGTTATGGGAGGTTTTTGGGCAAGGTACAGACTTCTGGTGCATTCAAGATGAGTGGGAAGACAGCTTGGACCTTACAGAGTCTTGGCTAGTGTTTGGGTGAGACAGCTATACCCTGTGCAGGATAGTCTGATCACTTTGAAACTTTAGCACAATACCCTGCTCTAGAGTGGGAGAGTTCCAGATAGACCCCAGTTTAGCTGTGGCGACTGGTGCTGAAGTGCTCAGGGTGTCAAGGTTACAGCTAGGAAGCAAGCTTGATGGAGGTACGCAACCAGAGTACAAGGATCTCTGTTACAATATTTGAAATAATAATTGTAATAATAATGCAATAATAAAATAACTGGTATTAGCAGGTAAAACCATTAAAATACAATATATAAAACATGCACACCCCCACTTCATGCTGCAAATTAAATATCACCAACAAAGAGCTCCTCTTATATGATCTTACTGCCTGTGCTACCGGTCTGAACAAACAAGGTAAAATTTTCCTCTTCTCTGGCTCTTTAGTACATAAGCTTCACCCAACCTTGAGGACGTAGGTCCCTTCCCTTTCTTGCATAAGAGTGAGGAAGAAAGTCTTGAAATAGAACATTTTTAATAACTATCAAAATAATGTTTATGGAGAACATCAGGTTCATCCCAAAAGGGATGTGTCAATTTTAATCGGCTCTACTACATTGTTACAGCTCTCTGGACCCATGCAGCTAATCATAAGTTCTGGGTTAGATAGTTTAGTACATATCACGATAGATAACATCGACTTCAGTGCTCTTATTCCACCTAAATTCTTGAGGTTTATTCACTGTGAAACACAGAGTGAGAGCAGTGTGGGAAAAGCCCAAGTCTGCATGGCTTCTGAGATCTGATGAGATCAGGCACTTTCAGACTGGTATGGCCGTAGGCAAAAGTAAGAGAATGCGATCTTGCTGATGTTGGTAAAATATCAAACACTGGTTGCAACAGAAGACAAGATGCTTCTGGATAGGGAAAAAAGTGATCTGATTATGACATCATAATGCAAAAAATAAATAAACAAAAGCTTACTGCACCTGAGGTTCCTAGTTGGTCTCCCATACAAGTACTTAACAGGCCCAAGTCTGCATGACTTCTGAGATCTGACAAGATCAGGCACTTTCAGACTGGTATTGCCATAGGCAAAATTAGCAGAAATTGATCTCGCTGATGTTGGTATAATATCAAACACTGGTTGCGACAAAAGACAAGACGCTTCTGGATAGGGAAAAAAGTGATCTGATTATGACATCATAATGCAAAAAAGAAATAAACAATAGCTTACGGCACCTGAGGTTCCTAGTTTGTCTCCCATACTAGTACTAAACAGGTCCGAGTCCAGATGGTTTCTGAGATCTGTCGAGATCAGGCACTTTCAGACTGGTATGGCCATAGGGGAAGTTATACAAATGCGATTTTGCTGATGTTGGTAGAATATCAAACATTGGTTGCGACAAAAGACAAGACGCTTCTGACTAGGGAAAAAAGTGATCTGATTATGACATCATAATCTAAAAAAGAAATAAACAAAAGCTTACTGCACCTGAGGTTCCTAGTTGGTCTCCCATACAAGTACTAAGCAGGCCCACATCTGCATGACTTCTGAGATCGGACAAGATCAGGCACTTTCAGACTGGGAAGGCTGTAGGCAAAATTAGCAGAAAGTGATCTCGCTGATGTTGGTATAATATCAAACACTGGTTGCGACAACAGACAAGACGCTTCTGACTAGGGAAAAAAAGTGATGTTGGTAGAATATCAAACATTGGTTGCGACAAAAGACAAGACGCTTCTGACTAGGGAAAAAAGTGATCTGATTATGACATCATAATCTAAAAAAGAAATAAACAAAAGCTTACGGCACCTGAGGTTCCTAGTTGGTCTCCCATACAAGTACTAAGCAGACCCAAGTCTGCATGATTTCTGAGATCTGACGAGATCAGGCACTTTCAGACTGGTATGGCCGTAAGCGAAATTTGCAAAAAGTGATATCGCTGATGTTGGTATAATATCAAACACTCGTTGCAAGAAAAGACAAGACGCTTCTGACTAGGGAAAAAGTGATCTGATTATGACATCATAATCTAAAAAAGAAATAAACAAAAGCTTACGGCACCTGAGGTTCCTAGTTGGTCTCCCATACAAGTAGTAAGCAGGCCCAAGTCTGCATGACTTCTGAGATCTGACGAGATCAGGCACTTTCAGACTGGTATGGCCATAGGCGAAATTAGCAGAAAGTGATCTCGCTGATGTTGGTATAATATCAAACACTGGTTGCGACAAAAGACAAGACGCTTCTGACTAGGGAAAAAAGTGATCTGATTATGACATCGTAATCTAAAAAAGAAATAAACAAAAGCTTACAGCATGTGATGTTCCTAATTGGTATCCCAAACAAGTACTAAGCAGGCCCAAGTCTGCATGACTTCTGAGATCTGACGAGATCAGGCACTTTCAGACTGGTATGGCCGTAGGCAAAATTAGCAGAAAGTGATCTCGCTGATGTTGGTATAATATCAAACACTGGTTGCGACAACAGACAAGACGCTTCTGACTAGGGAAAAAAAGTGATCTGATTATGACATCATAATCTAGAAAAGAAATAAACAAAAGCTTACGGCACCTGAGGTTCCTAGTTGGTCTCCCATACAAGTACTAAGCAGGCCCAAGTCAGCTTGACTTCTGACGAGATCAGGCACTTTCAGACTGGTATGGACGTAACCAAATTAGCAGAAAGTGATCTTGCTGATGTTGGTATAATATCAAACACTAGTTGCGACAAAAGACAAGACGCTTCTGACTAGGGAAAAAAGTGATCTGATTATGACATCATAATGCAAAAAATAAACAAACAAAAGCTTACTGCACCTGAGGTTCCTAGTTGGTCTCCCATACAAGTACTTAACAGGCCCAAGTCTGCATGACTTCTGAGATCTGACGAGATCAGGCACTTTCAGACTGGTATTGCCATAGGCAAAATTAGCAGAAATTGATCTCGCTGATGTTGGTATAATATCAAACACTGGTTGCGACAAAAGACAAGACGCTTCTGGATAGGGAAAAAAGTGATCTGATTATGACATCATAATGCAAACAAGAAATAAACAATAGCTTACGGCACCTGAGGTTCCTAGTTTGTCTCCCATACTAGTACTAAACAGGTCCGAGTCCAGATGGTTTCTGAGATCTGTCGAGATCAGGCACTTTCAGACTGGTATGGCCATAGGGGAAGTTATACAAATGCGATTTTGCTGATGTTGGTAGAATATCAAACATTGGTTGCGACAAAAGACAAGACGCTTCTGACTAGGGAAAAAAGTGATCTGATTATGACATCATAATCTAAAAAAGAAATAAACAAAAGCTTACTGCACCTGAGGTTCCTAGTTGGTCTCCCATACAAGTACTAAGCAGGCCCACATCTGCATGACTTCTGAGATCGGACAAGATCAGGCACTTTTAGACTGGGAAGGCTGTAGGCAAAATTAGCAGAAAGTGATCTCGCTGATGTTGGTATAATATCAAACACTGGTTGCGACAACAGACAAGACGCTTCTGACTAGGGAAAAAAAGTGATCTGATTATGACATCATAATCTAGAAAAGAAATAAACAAAAGCTTACGGCACCTGAGGTTCCTAGTTGGTCTCCCATACAAGTACTAAGCAGGCCCAAGTCAGCTTGACTTCTGACGAGATCAGGCACTTTCAGACTGGTATGGACGTAACCAAATTAGCAGAAAGTGATCTTGCTGATGTTGGTATAATATCAAACACTAGTTGCGACAAAAGAAAAGACGCTTCTGACTAGGGAAAAAAGTGATCTGATTATGACATCATAATGCAAAAAATAAATAAACAAAAGCTTACTGCACCTGAGGTTCCTAGTTGGTCTCCCATACAAGTACTTAACAGGCCCAAGTCTGCATGACTTCTGAGATCTGACGAGATCAGGCACTTTCAGACTGGTATTGCCATAGGCAAAATTAGCAGAAATTGATCTCGCTGATGTTGGTATAATTTCAAACACTGGTTGCGACAAAAGACAAGAAGCTTCTGACTAGGGAAAAAAGTGATCTGATTATGACATCATAATCTAAAAAAGAAATAAACAAAAGCCTACGGTACCTGAGGTTACTAGTTGGTCTCCCATACAAGTACTAAGCAGGCCCAAGTCTGCATGACTTCTGACGAGATCAGGCACTTTCAGACTGGTATGGACGTAACCAAATTAGCAGAAAGTGATCTTGCTGATGTTGGTATAATATCAAACACTGGTTGCGACAAAAGACAAGACGCTTCTGACTAGGGAAAAAAGTGATCTGATTATGACATCATAATGCAAAAAAGAAATAAACAAAAGCTTACGGCACCTGATGTTCCTAGTTTGTCTCCCATACAAGTACTAAACAGGCCCGAGTCCGAATGAATTCTGAGATCTGGCACTTTCATACTGGTATGGCCATAAGTGAAATTAAGCAAATGCGATTTTGCTGATGTTGGTAGAATATCAAACATTGGTTGCGACAAAAGACAAGACGCTTCTGACTAGGGAAAAAAGTGATCTGATTATGACATCATAATCTAAAAAAGAAATAAACAAAAGCTTACGGCACCTGAGGTTCCTAGTTTGTCTCCCATTCAAGTACTAAGCAGGCACATGTTTGCATGACTTCTGAGATCTGACGAGATCAAGCACTTTCAGACTGGTATGGCCGTAGGAAAAAATTAAACGAAAGTGATCTCGCTGATGTTTATAGAATATATAACACTGGTTGCGACAAAAGACAAGACGCTTCTGGATAGGGAAAAAAGTGATCTGATTATGACATCATAATGCAAAAAAGAAATAAACAATAGCTTACGGCACCTGAGGTTCCTAGTTTGTCTCCCTGGACTAACCAGGTCCAAGTCCAGATGGTTTCTGAGATCTGTCGAGATCAGGCACTTTCAGACTGGTATGGCCATAGAGGAAGTTATACAAATACGATTTTGCTGATGTTGGTAGAATATCAAACATTGGTTGCGACAAAAGACAAGACGCTTCTGACTAGGGGAAAAAGCGATCTGATTATGACATCATAATGCAAAAAAGAAATCAACAAAAGCTTCCGGCACCTGAGGTTTCTAGTTGGTCTCCCATACAAGTACTAAGCAGGTCCAAGTCTGCATGAGTTCTGAGATTTGACAAGATCAGGCACTTTCAGACTGGTATGGTCGTAAGCGAAATTAGCAGAAAGTGATCTCACTGATGTTGGTATAATATCAAACACTGGTTGCGACAAAAGACAAGACGCTTCTGGATAGGGAAAAAAGTGATCTGATTATGACATCATAATGCAAAAAAAGAAATAAACAAAAGCTTAATGCACCTGAGGTTCCTAGTTGGTCTCCCATACAAGTACTTAACAGGCCCAAGTCTGCATGACTTCTGAGATCTGACGAGATCAGGCACTTTCAGACTGGTATTGCCATAGGCAAAATTAGCAGAAATTGATCTCGCTGATGTTGGTATAATATCAAACACTGGTTGCGACAAAAGACAAGACGCTTCTGGATAGGGAAAAAAGTGATCTGATTATGACATCTGTTGTGGACAGAAATATTAATTTATTTTTTATTAGTAAAATGCCTATTTACTCAAAATAATTATAATCAGTATTATTCAATTCTCATGTGATTAATTAAAATGGCCGCTGGGGAGTTTCCCCTCTAACATCGACTAACTACCTCATGTAACAAGATGGCGCTGGAATCTGGGGGAGACCCTCATGATGCCAGTGACATCAACTCCTGTAGGCAGAGCATTAGAAGAACCACTTAACACCTAACTAATTAATGATGTACTATTTCTTGTTATCTCTGGCAAAGCATATGATGTAATCCTGCTTTAAAAGGGACCTGCCGTCCGCTCTGAATAAACATTCCAGTTTTTCATCAACCAGAAACTTGTGTCCGGTGTGAAATTACTTCAGGAGCGTGCACGCACTTCTTCTTCAATTTGGCCAGGGGCAGATAATAATCAATATTATTGATTGATTTCCATTTCAACTTGGCGCCCAACGTGGGGCCACCGGGGTCGCCGGTTCGGACCACCGGAAAACCAGGACCGGAGCGGACCTCCGGAAAGTAGGACAACCAGAGCCTGATCACCTCCAGATACAGTGGTTTGCCTGTATTCTTCTGTTTTGTGTCGGTCTGCCTCCGCATCCACTTCCGGCTTCCAGAAGGCTACAAGACAGGCAAATACTTACCCGGTGCCCTTTTTAACGAACCTGTCGAATGTCTATCTCCTGTAAGATAGAACTGTGTAAGTGTGTGTGGGTGTGTGGAACAGCTGTTGTATACTGGTATCCCAGCTCTGACCCCCCTCTCCTAGTTTAACTCAAGCTTCACTGCCCTGGGAGGCAGGGTTTGCGTCCCTTCTATCCTAGTTTTCCCCACATAGCTAGGCTGCCTAGTAAGAGGCAGGTTTCCCCTCCCGGCTCTGACCCCCCCTCTCCTAGTTTAACCCATGCTTCACTGCCCTGGGAGGCAGGGTTTGCGTCCCTTCTATCCTAGTTTTCCCCACACAGCTAGGCTGCCTAGTAAGAGGCAGGTTTCCCCTCCCGGGTCTGACCCCCCCTCTCCTAGTTTAACCCAAGCTTCACTGCCCTGGGAGGCAGGGTTTGCTTCCCTTCTATCCTAGTTTTCCCCACACAGATAGGCTGCCTAGTAAGAGGCAGGTTTTCCCCGGTAAGACAGCCTAGAGAGAGGCTGGGATGATATTGCTTTATTTGTTTTTATATGTGATTTGACTGCCTAGATAGAGGCAGGGTTCAAGACAGCCTAGAGAGAGGCTGGGATATTATTGTTTTATTTGAGATTTGTCTGCCTAGAGTGAGGCAGGGATTTTCTGTTGCCCAATCAGAGAAGGGTTGGGATTTGTTGTCAGCCCAGAGACGGGCTGAGAATACTGCTCAAAAGGGGGAGGGTTGGGGTTACTGCCATTGGTTATTGATATGTCTATGTTTCTATTGGTTCTGTTCATACTCAGCTTTTTGTTTAGTTGTGGTCATAACGTGGGTACCCTTGTTGTTTGTGTCTATGTTGTGGGGGTTGTTCTTGATTCCGGATTGTGAGCACACTTTTATGTTTGTGACTTTTGTAAGTGTTTGTTGATTAGTTTCTCTATGTTTCTTTTCTCCCTAACTCTTTACTGCATCTGTACTTGTTGCCCAGAGCTGTGTTAGTCACCCACGCTCGCCCGTATTGATCCGCGGTCACCACCTAGGGTGAGCGGATCCTGTGACTAGTCTACGTTTTGGGAAGATGCACAGGAACAGGAAAAGGTCTCTTAGCCTGTGACATTGTTAAAGAAAGAGCAGGAGAAGAGGCTATGTTAAAGTTGAAGAAAATAGCGAAGGTTTGTGGTCTCCAGATACCGGCTAGTGGTAGGCTACAGCCAGAATTTTGGAGGAAGTTACTTATTGATAAAGAAGGTGTTTTGTTAGACAATGGTTTGACAAAGGCTGTTGAAGCTTGGTATCGTGTTGCCAGAGGTCTTAAGCGTGAGGGATGGTCAGAAGAGGAAATTGTTCTTGAAGGACAAACAATATTTGTGTATCACAGAAATGTTTGTGGTAATGATGATACAACCGTTGTTCCCCGGCCACCGCCCTATGATGGCGCCCAAAAGGACATGAGCGAGACATGTCCCGCCCTCCCAGCCATCTCCCCGTCTCCACCCCCTACCACTCCACTTCCCGTTGTTAAAGGACCTTCTGTTCCCACCCGCTATACCCTGTCCTGGGAGCAAATGGATCGTACTTTTATCCTTTCCCATTTTCAGCATCACCAGTTGTAACTCCGGTTACCCCTGTTCAACCAACACCTCCAGGTTCTCCTCCGATTGATGTCCCCCTAACTTCAGTTGCAGAAATTGTTACCCAATCTTCATCACCATCCCTTTCTACTCCACCTGATACTGTTGCTCCCGCTTCCCTCCCCTTGAGTATCCGAGCCCCGTCTCCCCCACCACAACTACCTGTCATTCCCACCAGTTCGAACCCCGCTTCCCTCTACTCCTCGATTCCTGTACCAGACTCCTCTCCCTCTCCTGTTCCCAGTTCCCCTTCCCTTTCCTCCACTGATCTGACATCTCTGGTTTCGTCTCTCGTCACTGCCCTTTCTGCCCCTCCCTCTTCCCTCCCATCTCCTCCTGTTCCCGTTCCAGAATCTTCTCCCGTATTCTCCGCCCCCTTTCCCTCCCCAGACCTTTCTTCTCTTGTTTCCACCCTCTTTACTGTCCTTGCTGCTAACACCCCTCCTGAATCCCCACCCATTACTGTTTCTCCTCTTCCTACGGCAAACTCCTCCCCATCCCTTCAAGATCTTTCGTCCCTCGTCACTACTCTTATCTCTCGGATTTCCCCTTCTACTCCTCCCGTTCCCGTGGTGGAACACTCAACCCCTTCTTCCTCTCCCCCACTTCCCTCTGATGCTAATATGCTTGTTTCTACCCTTCTGGCTTCACTTACCACCCCATCTACTTCCTCTTCCCTTCCACCACCTGCTCCACAACCCACTTCTACTGGTTCAACCTAAGATCTCTCCACTCTCTCTGTCCCACATGACCTTTCTGCACTCTCTACCCACGATCTCGCATCGCTTATTTCTTCTCTTCCAAGCACCTGACCCAATTAACCCAACCTACTATTTCCTCCACCCTGGTACCTGTTTCTACCCCTCAGAAGGCCCTTCCCAGCTACCCATTGATGATTGTCGGAAAACAAACGAGTCTGTCATGTCTGGACAACCTCAGGCCGCTGATGCTTCCCCTGCTGCCTCGGGTTTCCACCCCACTACTTCACAACTGGTTTCACCCAACGTTGCTGCAGCCGGCCCTCCCGGATCCGACTCTCCGTTGGCGCCGTCTCACAACTCACTTGAAGTTGTCAGTTATCGTGGTCTCCCGGCCTTACCGGGAGACTATGATATGCCAAAACCTAGCCCCTCTTGCCCCCCTAATGCGAACCAGATCCACAGACAGACTATTGCAGCTGCTCACCTTCCCCCTGTGGATGGACTCCCACCAATGTATGTTACGTTTAACCCATCCCAAGCAGCAACCTTGGTCACTTCCCTTCCCGATCCTGAAAAACAACCCATGCCCTTTTTCCGGAGAATGGCACAGATCCGTAAAACATATTCCGCCGCCTGGCGTGATTTATATAGTTTGTGTGAAATAAAGGCAGGGGACGCTTACTGGCCAATTATGGCAAAGTGTTTCAACGATGCTGTACTTACTACTGACACAGATTTTCAATCAGGTATTGTTTTCTGTGAACAACGCAAAGCCTGGACTCAGGATAAGTTAGCTGACCAGGCAACTTGCATAAATGATATTGTACAAGATAAACTCGAGTCCGTGGAGAAATATCATTCCCGACTAACTCAGACATTCTATGACTTAGGGTTTAGTGCTTATGATAAGGCACACACTCAGATGTTATCAGCAGCCTTTGTGGTTGGTCTTAAAGAGTCTATCAGAAAAGGTTTAATACTTGCTCGACCAGAATATCGAACTATTCCATTAGACACTCTCCTGTTGGTTGCAAAGGGCCTCGAATCCACTCTACTACCAGCACCTAAAAGAACTAATCCACTCATGCTGTCTGCCCCTGGTCCTCTCATCAGACCTGCTGCGGGACCCCCGAGATATCCTGCTCCTCCTTTTGTACCCAACATGCCAGGGCTACCCACAGCACCTAGACCTCCAGCCAGGGTTTGCTTTAATTGCCGTTCCCTGATCATTTTCGTGGTGATTGTCCACATCCCCGGGTATTCCCTAAACCATCTAACAGACCTCCATTGCAACCTTATACTCAACCAAATGCATACGGGACTTCATTCCAGGGATACCCTCCACAAGGATATCCCCAGTCAAATGCCCCATACTACCCTCCGCAGGATTATAACCAAAATGCTTTTCAGACTAGTCAATTTAATGGTCGTCCTACTAATGACAATTACGAATCACACGATTGCCAACACGCTGACTGTCCAACTTACCGTCCTGCACATCAGACCCACCATTCAAGTCACCCTACCACACAACATTACACTGACCCTGACCAATCCCGCTTAGATTTAGTACAATAGGTAACTGGCAAACCTGTGTCAGCCACCCCTATTATGGCAGTGTCTACAGGGGATAAAGGGGGGCCCCTAGCCACTGTGGTTCTACCAATCGAAGGGCACCCTACTACCTTTCTAGTTGACACAGGCGCAGCCTGTAGCGTCCTCAGAGAACAAGACCTGCCAGACCCTTCTTTCTTATCTGATCTCGATGTTTCATGTGTGGGAGTAGATGGTACTCCTAAAAATAGTCCAATAACAAAGCTTCTGCGAGTTGGTTCTAACATTCTTTCTCGATTTGTTGTTTCATCTACCTGTCCTATTAACCTTTCAGGTGCTGATGTCTTGTCTCGCCTTCAGGCATCTATCTCTTTCACTGCAAACGGTCAGGTCCAATTACTTACCCCCCTCTCTAGCAAGGACACTTCTGCCCTCTATTCTTTGCCCCTGCTCATGCACATGACACATCCCACAGAAGAGACAGGGGTCCCAGATGCTCCCAGTGCCCTAGATTCCATACCTACAAAGCTGTGGTCCACAGGCCCTGATGATATCGGCCGTCTTCAGGTCCCACCAGTGGTGGTTACTCTCCTTGAGGGAGTTGCCCCCCCGAGACGTCCTCAGTATCCTCTGAAACATGCTCAAGCTATTGCCATTACTAAAAAAGTTGAAAGTCGATTAGCAAAGGGAGCCTTGGTCAAATGCATCTCTCCATGTAACACTCCATTGTTTCCAGTAAAGAAAAAGACTGCAAAGGGCCAACCAGACCAATATCGCATGGTCCAAGATCTCCGTGCTGTCAATGAAGCTACCGTACGGGATGCAGCAGTTGTCCCAAATTCACATACCCTACTGTCTCAAGTACCTCCCACCGCTAAGTACTTTACAGTGGTTGATCTTGCAAATGCCTTCTTCACTGTGCCTCTGGACCCATCATGTCAATACCTATTTGCCTTTACCCATGATCGCCAACAATACACATGGACTGTTATGCCTTAGGGCGCACAGAATTCTCCAACTCAATTTGCCAAAGCCATGTCTACTGTGCTTGAACCTTGGCAGAAGTCTCATCCTGATGTAGTTCTATTCCAATATGTCATAATCTGTTATCACCGTGGTGATGGTGTTGGTATTTGTCTTTGTCTTTGCTTGCTTGCTTTTTTTTTTTTTTTTTATGAAACATTTTTACACTGTTTATGATGTGTATAAATTCATTGACAGCACTTCCAAGACATTGTCTTAAGTGACATGGATCCCGTTATAGTAAATGTTATGTTGATACAGCAATCGAAGTGGATTCTCAAGAACGCCTCTTTTTGCTGTATTGGAATCTTTGTAACATCTCAGTGATCGACATCTCACTGACATCAGGTGCTGTTGTGCTCAAAATGTTAACAGGTAAAATCTGTGGAAAAATCTTTACATTTGTTATACTTTGTATAATAATGATAGATGAAATAGTAACATAGTTCATCTTTCTAGTGTTTTGTTTTAAAGATAAACACCCTTGTATATGATTTAGATATATAAGAATAATTTGAAGCAGCAAAGTATTTACCGCCTTTGTTCACAATGGTATGTAAAATTACATTCTCTCTAAATGTAAAAAATACTCCTTTATTCAAAATCTCTCAATCTATTTAGAATAGTTGCTAATTGGAAATATGACGTTAATTATCTTTCTTTGTCCTGTTATGGAGAAGACAACTTATTCCCTAGTTATTATTAGTAAATATAATAACTACAGTTATTAGTGGCTTAAAATACCAGAAACCCCCAAAAATTGTCTTAGAAAACATTTTTGTTACCAAGATCTGACAGCCATTGTGGAAAGTTACGTTCGTGAGATTGGATGCCTAACAATGAGAATCTTAATTGTTTAAGTATATTTACCAGCGGCTGTTGGGTGTAGCTTAAGATGATTAGAATTTTTTATTATTTCTAAAAGTGAGTTAAAAAAGCACTCAGATACAATATTGAAGGTATTTATATTTTAACTCTACCTTTGTATGTGTTTTTTTTTTTAATAATATATATATATATATATATATATATATATATCAGTATCTGTTGTAACTATAACTGGTTGAAGTGGGAGTATGTTACAATCAGAAATAATCATATGCATGATGCATTGATTAAACAATCAATAGATGTGGCAGGATCATTACCACAAGGTATATGTACGTTTAATCATCACAAACCAAATAACATTTTCTTGGTATTTGAAAAACTGATAAAATATTTGATTACGTGTATTTTAATATATATACATAGAGTGGTATGGATGTTGAATTTATATCTTTGACATCTTTTCACCAGTTTGCAATAGGTGACCTAAATGATCAATTTCCAAAATCATCATGGATATCACCTAGATGGGTTAATCCATAATACTCTTTTACTTTTCATTTACTGGCCTTAGCTCTGGCAGACTGAATATTTTTATCATTATAAATAAACTGATGGTTGAAGTAAAGTTTCTGCCTGTCTTTCAGTTAAATTTTAACTGTTGAAGTATTTCACTTATATTAATTATACCACTCTGCAAACTTAAACGAATATCGAGTAGTTTCTGATTTAATAAAAACATTTTACATTTTCTTCTAAAGTTTAAACATTATTCATTATTGCAGTTGTTATTGCAATCATATGATCTTTAACTATCATGATTCAATTATTCATCTGGGTAATTAGCTGTTATACTCTTCTACGTATGTCTAATATATTTGTTTGTAGGCCAGACTGCATTTTAACAATAATCTTCAATTGCGTTTCAGATATTCACAAAGTCTATCCACCTTTGTAATTAACACATTATGTGTTTCTTATACCATTAATTATAGTATCTGTATTATATTACACATTGTCACTGACACATTTCTGATACAGGGAAAAAAATAGCATGATTGCTTTAGTAATTATAATTTTCGGTCCATGCACCACATTCCTGGAAGTCCAGAATATAGCAAGAATGCTTTGTCATTTGATTCTATGGAGCCATCTAACATTTGATTGGTATAGTTATACCAAAAGAGCAAGGAGTACATTGGTAGATCACATCTGCAACAGAACCATTACAGATTCCTTGTTGTATCAATGTCTCTGTGTTTATGTTTACAGGAGTTCCTTGCTTTGCAGGTATGTACATATGTAGAGTTTAAGAAAAGCTGCAAATCGTGCTTTAGTACAAGTGTCCAATGATGTCAGGTTTCTGAAAGATTTTGCTGGTCTTTTTATATTTCATTCTCTTGGCAGGGCATCTGCTCTTAGTAAGCCGGTCTTATTTTATTTATTAATTGCATCAAGGTTTCTTTCGTTAGTTGATGTGTTTCTACCAAATTCAAATTCACATGCCACCAAATGTCATTGTGAAGTTAATTGTTACAGAATATTGTTCCAGGATGGTTTTTTACTCCAGTAGGAAATCTATTTTCCTCTTCTTCTGCTCCTTCCTATTAATTAAGTCAATCAGGTTTTTGCAGTACCATGTTCCATCTTAAGAAATAGCTGGGTGTTGACAGATATCAGCCTTTATTTCTTTTTCCGGTCATCTTCTGTCTGGAAACATAATAGCAATGTCCAGAATTAGCATAGCACTTCTTTTCAGCATAAGAATGCTGTTTGCGGTAGTCACTCAATGATAAACTATATGGCAAAGTATTTTCTTGCATCACCTTCATAGGTGCATCGAAAGTCTTTCACAAGCATCTGTCTCGTCTTTTTCTGTTTTCAGCATGCTTTGCCATCATCGTTGAGTCCATTATTAGGATTTGAAATAGTTCAATCACATCTTTCTCATGTATAATCGGTTTTTGGAATGATCTTCAATAGGTTCCTTGTGAAATACCAGTGTAGGCAATCATTTCACAGTGAGCTGTGTCTCTCCTTATGAGATAGTTCTTGGAGGTAGTCCTCGCGATCAAAAGAACTTGTATAGTGTGTTATATAGTCTTGCTTGTTAACATAATCCCAATGCAGTTTTAAAACGACAGCTAGGGTTGATGTTATGATAGTGCTGCAGATTGTAAGAAGGAGACACCATAACCAATTTTCTAGCATTCTTTTTGCTTCCATCTTTGCATTTCTTTCTTTCTTTCTTTAAAAGATAATTCAGGTTCAGTCTGTTTTCTCCAGAGTATTTCCTTTAATGATGTTGATGATTCATTTTTCATACATTCCATGTTAACTGTGAATGCATCACGTCTGTCTGTTCATCCTTCTCCTTCACATTTGCAGGTTCAGATGTCAGATCATGATTCAGTCTGTTACGTAACTATGATTCTGGTGGCTTTGTTTTGGTGGCATTTCTGTTGTCCTCTGTTTGTTTGTTTTATCTTGTCATCTTTAACATTATCCATTGTATCAGTCAGTGGTTCTGTGAATGTCCTGTTAGTATTTAGCAGGTTGTAAATTATCAAAACTTACTGTTCTCTGTTGGCTCTGATTGTTCTCTGTAGTAAAAGTTCTCGGAGTCACCCTTTCCAGGACAAGCTGGCCAACAGTAGGAAATAGGTGGTAGTGCATGGTGAGGTGGGCTGGAAAAAAAAAATTCCCTAAATTTCTCTAATATAACCAATGGTTCTAAGCTCTCCCTGGTACAGAAATATGTTTGTCAGTGAAAAACATGTAACATTTCGTATGGTGTCTCACCATTTGTATCATTAGGTATGTTGTGAATGCTCATCTGTACCATATGAATAAATAGATACCACTGTGTGGGGCAAGTAACTAGTAACTTGGTTAATAATCATTTATCCTCAGCATTTTCCCAGACCACAATCGCAGGTGGTTCCCTTATTTACCACTATAATGTCTTAAAGCATAGAACTTAGTAGGGCTAACCATACAGATATCTTAGCCATCATTTTATATAGTTAGTAAGAGATCCTTTATTTAACATATATAAATAATTGAGAATACAATATAAAATAAGGATTGTCTTGGAAGCAATAGTTTTGTCTTTTTGGATATTTGTTATATATAAATATAAAATCCATTATAGCAGAGTTTATAAGATTAAATTAAATGCTTGCAAATATCATTAATATGTTAACATACCCTTCTGAACATGTCATCATGTCAGCCTCTCTGTCTGTAACGGACCGTTTTGCACACAAGGGGTAAAAACCGTTTAGGCGATCGGCCCCCTTTCCAGAGATACAGACACAGCTACTGCAGAACACCAAACTCCCGAACTGGATACAAAATAGCACTTCAACTCCCGAACTGGAAACTCCCAAATAGCTGCTAGCAGACGAACAGGAAAAGCAATCAGCTTACATTCCTGGCAATCAGTCTCTAACAGCATACAGTGAATCCCCCCAAGAACGAGACAAGGCTCCGTGTTGTGGGTCAAGCAGTGGTCAGACAGAGCTGTGGGTTTATTGTGCTTATGTACACATTCTTACACATTAGTACCACCCACAGGGTTTTGGAACACAACCAATAAACACATACAATACACTCAGACACTCCCACACAAATTCCTCCCCTCTGCATGTGATTCAATTACCTTACACAATGGGTAATGTAATTTAGCACAAGCAGAGAAATACAATTTTTCCACATTATTCATAACTTGAAAAGTATGCATCACATTCACATAATGTTACATTTTCAAAATCAGCATACTCCAAATACAAACATAAGTCAAAATCATACAAGTTGGTCCAGTGGTTCAAAAGATAGATCATAGTCCTTTGTGACCACAGGAAGCATGGCTTTTCTGCCCAAAACTAGCTCCACAGAGTCTTCTATCCTGGAGATAATTAGAAGTAATCCAATTATCTCCAAAGACAGAGGCAAAACTCCATTGAACACATGGCAGCAAAAAGACAGTAAAATACAATAAAATACACAAGGTTATATTTATGACATAAAATACAGACATGCAACATATGCCCAGATAGCTTAGGTCTGAGCGCATATTATTACTGAATGGCGCTCAGAGCACACATATACAGTTCAATTGCCATGGAGCCAAAGTCTTTCCCATAGTCTTTCATTATACGAATGGGCTACATGGCATAGCTATCTGGGGTATCACTGCTCAAACAGGGCAAGCACCAAATGACCCGGCTTTCTTGTCTTTGCAGGGGAAAATCAAGCCTTTTAACATGGGGCCATAATCCAAAGGCATTGTATGGTAGGCGAGCAACCAGGCTTCTCCAATGCAATGTGGCGAGATTGCTCTCGTCACACTGTCATTTTAAGATGGAGCAGCGTCTGTCTCCAAGTCTCTCCTCTGTTTCTTAACATTTAAAAGTACACCTATTTATACCTTAGGTGTCTCCATTTTAGGGTTACCGTAGTTCATTTACTTTATTCATTTTAGGACCTCCCTTAATTTGGCAAACATACAAGGCCATAACTAAAGGGTGCAAACGTCATGGAAATTTTCCTGACTTAGTTCAAGATGGCATCTTAAAGTCTGAATAGGTTATCTGTTGTTTATACTAAGTCGTAAGTGTACAGTCGTGGGAGATTCCCGGATTTGGGGAAGTTCCATTAACTTGGGGTTACCACAGTATATTGTGTACTTCAAGAGTCGTAGTATAGCCTTGAAGCCTGTTTATGCATTATTGTAATTCGTCTGGGACAAAATGGTGCAAACATATTATGCACTGAGGTTATTGCTTAAAGAAACAGTTATGAAAAACAATATGTTCCATTTCTAACACCTTGTCAGTTTGCAATATCTCTTAACCCCTTAAGGACGGAGCCAAATGTACACGTTGTGAACAAAACAAAATGTAAACAAAACCTGGCATTTGCGCTACATGTCTGTCCAACCGTAATACACCTCTTTCATAGTAAATGCACCCACCCTTATTATATATCATTTTATTCAGGGGAAACAGGGCTTTCATTTAATATCAAATATTTAGCTATGAAACATAATTTAATATGAAAAAAATGGGAGAAAATACGATTTTATTGGATTTTTTTAGTTCTACATGACATTTAAACGGTCAGTGTCATAATACTGTTTGCTTTTACTGCAATAAAATACACATATTTGTATTCAGCAAAGTCTCACGTGTAAAACAGTACCCCCTATGTACAGGTTTTATGGCGTTTTGGGAAGTTACAGGGTCAAATATAGCACGTTACATTTGAAATTGAAATTCGCCAGATTGGTTACGTTGCCTTTGAGACTGTATAGTAGCCCGGGAATGAAATTTACAACCATAATGGCATACCATTTGCAATAGTAGACAACCCAAGGTATTGCAAATGGGGTATGTCCAGTCTTTTTTAGTAGCCATTTGGTCACAAACACTGGCCAAAGTTAGCGTTAGTATTTGTTTGTGTGTGAAAAATGCAAAAAACGCCAATTTTGGCCAGTGTTTGTGACTAAGTGGCTACTAAAAAAGACTGGACATACCCGTTTGCAATACCTTGGGTTGTCTACTATTGCAAATGGTATGCCATCATAGGGGTAATTTTCATTCTTGGGCTACCATAGGGTCTCAAAGGCAACGTAACCAATCTGGCCAATTTTAATGTGAAAAAAATGAAACACAAACCTTATATTTGAGCTGTAACTTTTGAAAACACCATAAAACCTGTACATGAGGGGTACTGTTGTACTCGGGAGACTTCACTGAACATAAATATTTGTGTTTCAAAACAGTAAAAAGTATCATAGCAATAATATTGTCCGTTTAATGCTGTTTGTGCGTGAAAAATGCAAAAAACGTCACTTTTACTGGCGATATCATCGTTGTAATACATTTTAATGTTTTGAAACACTAATATTTGTGTTCAGCGAAGTCTCCCGAGTAGAACAGTACCCCCCATGTACAGGTTTTATGGTGTCTCGGAAAGTTATAGGGTTAAATATAGTGCTAGCAAATTAAATTCCCTTTACTTTCGGCATGGGTTGTCATGCAGGTCCTGCTAATTGTAATTAATTAAGATACCTAATTATGTAAAAATATTACATAAATATATATGTAGAATCAATATATGTATATATATACGTATGTGTATATATATGTATATATCTATATAATTTTTTAAAAATATTTTTATTTATATATAGGTATATATATATAGTGATATATACGTATATATTTATGTATATAAATATATATATTATTTCGTTCTATGTGTATTTTGATATATATATATATATATTAATTTCACAATACAGTTAGAACGAAATAACACACATCTATATATTTTTAATTATTTATTTTTAATTATTTTTGTAATTTTATTTTTTAACGTATTTACATTTTAATTTTTTTTAT